TGTGTGTGTGTGTGTGTGTATGTGTGTATATATATATATATATATGGCATTGTGTTCATGATATATGAATTGGTGATCTGTGTCTAACTTTTGCAGTGTATAGTGTATGTGCTTGAATTGGTGATAGGTATGTATGTGCCTAGGCTGGTTTGAATGTGTATGTGCCTGAGCTGGTAGTGTGTGTGTGGATGCACCTAACTGATTTGTGTGTGCGCAATTGTGTCACACCCTCCTGTCTAACAGCGCAATATTGAGATCCTGAGAGTTGGCCTGACGCCACAGGGCAACAAAACAAGCACCGAACCTCACTAACCTCATCACCAAAAGCAAACTTCCTCAGGCCCAGAACACACTAAATGAATCCAGACCATGCCATGACAAGAAATGCAAAACCTGCCAGCACCCCCACAATTACTATGCCTCACAACAGAGCCATTAGCATTCCTGGATCTTACAGCTGCACCTCCAGAAATGTAATATATCTCACCCAATGCACCAAATGCCCCGATGGAAAATACGTAGGAAAGACCAAACAACAACTGCGCACCAGAATGAATGCACACCGGAAATCTATCAAAGACAGGAATACCCAATTACCTGTTGGGGCACATATCTCACAAGAAAACCACTCTCTCTCCAATCTCTCAGTCCTGTTCCTCAAAGGGAACTGACAAAACACTTCTTAGAGAGGAGCCAATGAACTTCACTTCATCAACCTCCTGGATACAAAAAATCATGGATTAAATATAGATATTGGATTTATGACACATTATAACCTGCCTGACATCTGAATCCCCAGGTACCTCTCTACTATTTACCTGCTACATTCATCCCTCTTCTCTCTTCCACTCCTCGCCCCCCCCCGACGCATCTGTCTGTCACCCACTGACTCCTCAGTTTACATCTTCACTGACTGCCTGTCTTGCATGCATACCAGACCAGCCTCTGGCTTCTTTACTATTCATGCCATCCAGGAAGAGCATACACCAACTGTAGAGGCTTACTCAGCCTGATGAAGGGATTTTAAACCTGCAAGCTTGCTAGGGATTTCTTTTTTCCAACTATTTAAATTGGTCTAATAAAAGATATCAGATTCATCCAAAGAATCTTGTCATTAAAAAGTACATATTTGTACCACTGACTTGGTAATATTTACCTTTTACTTCATATAAATCATCTTTTATAATACAAGATTTTTATTAACAGAAAAGATGAAGCATGCCACTATTTGTTAATCATAACATTTTCTTTATTCCAAGAGCCTGATCTTACCTTTTATGCAAACAAATATGTACATGGCATTCAGTCATTTGCACACAGTATTCAGACTTTCAGACCAATGATCTTGTCAGATATGTAGGGAGATCTGTCTGCTTTCTTTCTGCACAGTCCCTCTGTAGGGAGTTAGTGGTTTAAAGAGTTTTCTGGTATGGATCAGTTTCACTGCGATGGTACAGGCCAATGGTTAGTTCAGCTGAAACAGGACAGAATCCCAGTTCACTTTAAGCACCTAAGGGGCATTTGCACAGTCTGTGCTTCCCCCTTGAGTGCTGAAGTGTCCAAACATATACTGAGCCTGCTTAGCAGGGGTGTTATCTGGGAGGGGAGATATATAGTGCCATACACTCAGCCAGATGTGTGTATAGTGCCAGGTAAGTCCTGAAGTTAAGGCTAGTCAAAAACCTACAACTAGTATATTAGATGCCAGAGGAGTAAGAATCTCTAGAGTTTTTTAGCCCAACAGCCTAGTGGTTGGGGCAAAAGAGCTTCATCACCAAGAACCTGTATCTCCTTCCCACCACAGTACTTTATCAGGTCATAATGTACTGTAGGCATTACCCAGGCACCTCTCCACCCCCCCTCCTGACGTTGACTCCTCAGGAAAGAGGGCAGTATGTGAGGCCAGATGGTGTGGAGCTTAGTGAGATTGATGCTACCCTAGATGAGAAAGGACCCTACATTCTAGCTGGGGACATTGCTCCCAATGGGGCAAAAACTTCTACAGTACTTTGCATCTAAGGGGAGGGCTGGAGAAAGGTCAGAATAATTCTTACCTGGTGGTAAAACACTATACAGGTTCAAACTCCTATAGGTCATGGGATCCTAAACCCTGGGTAAGTTCCCAAATCAACAGACTTCTGGACTAATAAACATGGAAACAGCTCTTGTAAAAGGTATATGCGAGGCAATTCTGTTTTATTCTCTGGAAATAAAATTGTGGACATGTAAAATTGCCACAAGCAACAGTTATGTGGATGCATCTATGCTATTTGGTCACATAAAATCAAACAGGATTTTGAATTAACTTTTCCTAGGGAGCATCTTTTTAATGTGTTCATTTCAATTACATTATCGCTCATT